CTCAAAATGCGAATTCCACAAGGAGTCGCTGGACTACTTAGGCTACTGAATATCCAACCTGGGGATTGAAATGGACCCCAGAAAGGTGAAAGCAGTGCTGGACTGGCAACCCCCCAGAACCCGAAAACAACTTCAAAGTTTCTTGGGTTTTGCCAACTTCTATAGACAATTCATTCCGTCCTTTGCTGAAGTTGCCCTCCCATTGACAGAGCTATTAAAAACAGGCCCATCACCCACCAAACCGAAGCCATCAATCCCTGGCTTGGACTATGGACTGTCAGAAAGCTTTCGAGGCCTTAAAACGCCTCTTTGCAGCTGAGCCCATACTCCAGCACCCAGAAGCGACCAAGCCTTTTATTGTCCAAATGGATGCAAGTGATATAGTGGTGGCAGCTGTTTTGCTGCAAAAGGATTCTCAAGGCTGACTGATGCCTTGTGCTGATGTGTCCAAAAAGCTAACAGACACAGAGCGAAGGTGGACGATCTGGGAGAAAGAAGCATTCATTGTACGATGGGCTTTGTTGACTTGGAGGCATTTTCTAGAAGGGGTGCCAGAGGCCTTTGAGGTAAGGACTGATCATAAGAACCTTGAGGCTCTAAAGATCCCTAGGAGATTATTCCAAACAAGTCCATTGGGCCCAATATTTCAAGCAATTCAATTTCAACATTAAATATATTCCCGGAGGGAAAAACTTACTGGCGGACACTTTGTCCAGAAAACCTCAGTTTGACAGCCACCGAGAGGAAATAGTACAAACCATAATTTCAGATGCTCAATCAGCAGGCCAAGTGATCACTTGAGCCCAAGCCAACTGCAACCCCAAACACCTGGAAGATAAGCTGACTGCAGAATTGAAAATGGCCCTATTGACTGATCCTTGGTTCCTGGACCATCAAACTGAGTTGACAATGAATGACGGACTAGCTTGGAAAGGGCTTTATGTACCCACAACCCTAAGACTACTGGTACTAAAGTGTAGCCATGAATCCTGGTTGGGAGGCCACTTCGGATTCCTAAAAACACTACATTTACACTACACTACAGTTCTGGTGGCCAAAAATGAAACCTCATGTCGAAGACTACGTAAAAAGTTGCTCAATTTGTACCACAATGAAACACCGAACTGGAAAACCCACTGGCCTCCTGCAACAAGTCGCTGAACCAACCCAACCTTGGGAAGAGATCGCAATGGTTGAATTATTGTTGAATTACCTAAGAGTGAAGGGAATATGATCATTTGGACTATAATTGACTTATTCTCTAAACAGGCCCATTTTATAGCCTGCAAAGGACTTCTATCTGTGAAAAAACTTGCAAACCTGTTCATGAAACATATCTATAGACTACATGGAGTACCTTGTAGAATAATATCAGACAGAGGGGTACAATTTACTGCAAAATTTTAGAGGGAATTTCTGAAATCCATTGGTTCATCTCAAGGGTTATCCTCAGCTTTCCATCCTGCTTGTAACAGAGCAGTGGAGAGGGCTAACGCCATGATTGAGCAATACATTAGATGCTATGTAAATTATCAACAAGAAAATTGGGCTGAGTTATTACCTTTTGCAGAGGTTGCTTACAATAATGCAGTACATAGCAGCACAGAATTGACTCCATTCCAAATCAACACTGGAATGGATTTTGTCCCGATGCCAGAGTTACCTAGACAACTTCCCTCATCCATGTCCCTAACAGAATGGATGAACTCATTAAAGAAAGGATGGGAAGATGCAAAAAAAAACTTTGAAACTGCAAAAAATTATAAAAAACAGGTGGATAAGCATGGATCCCTTCAACTGCCTTTTAAAGTAGGGGACAAAGTATTTTTGTCGACCAAGTATCTTATGTTGAAACTGCCCAGTAAGAAGCTGGGTCCAAAATTCTTGGGTCAGTTCCCAATTTCAAAGATAATCAATCTGGTCACTGTCCAATTAAGTCTTCCTCGAATATTGGGGAAAATTCATCCAGTATTCCATTGTAGTTTACTAAAACCAGCTACTACCTCAATGATAAGACCACCGCCAATCATTCCCCCTAAACTGTTAATGGTACAGGGGAAAACACATTATGAGATTCAAAAAATTCTTGATTCTAGATTACACCGTGGCCGATTGCAATATTTGGTCTTATGGAAAAGATACCCCCTCTCAGATGCTAGTTGGGTAAAGAGTTGGGATGTTCATGCTGATCAATTGGTTAACCAATTCCATAAGGATTTTCCACACAAACCGAAGGGTCCTTGTGGAGGGGGGAGAGCGGGTTAAGGACAATGTGTTAACCCCTGTATCTGTTTTTTTTTCTTTTAGGAGGAAGAGTTTTCAAGGGGGGACGCCTGTCAGCTTTGAAATTCAGCTGCCACATTTTTTAAGAGAGTTGGAGGAGTTGAAAAGTTCAAGGTTATTCTGTATGGCATATTAGGAAATTCCAGTGGCAGTTAATTGGTTCTCGAGATTTATGAGGTGTAGAAGTGGGAGGAGAGAAGGGGGGAGAGAAGGTGGATTCTGTGTAATGCACGAAAAATGTTCACTTTGGGAAATTGCCATTGACATGCCAGATCTGTTTCTAAATAAATCAATTGGAGAGAAAATGTCTCGGAGTGATTGATATCATGGATACTTTCTGGATGCCTTACAGACATTAATATCTCCTATTGTTTAGGAATGCCACAGACTTCACAAAGGTTAATGGAGATTTGGCATTCATTCATATCCAGTAAATAGGTGCTTTGTAATGAATCAGTCCCTCAAGGCAGGTTCTTTGTGAATGGACCCATCACATTGCTTAATTCAAAAAATGTCCCCAACTGGAAAAGGATACATATTCCCAATCTAATGAAAACCTTGGGATGTACTACCAATTTTATTTTTCATTTAGCTCCTGGAAAAAATAAACAATGATGTATTTTAGCCCACTTCTGAAAAATTATACATTTGGAAATTTTATAGGGTAACTTTGGGGTTACATATGCTCCACAATTCTTTTTTTGCAGCCCCCAGAACAAACCCAGATTATGCCAGTTAAAATCAGTGGCAACCAATGATTTTCAGCCGTGTGATTTTTCATATTTTGGGAACAAACAGCAGGACTCTATGAGGCTCGGCAAACTTTGCAGATCATTTAATACCTGCTGGAAAGCTGGCACAAGACACAGAACTAGTGGACTTTGGCTCGAAATAGCAAGGCACTTCAAATGTTCTTCAGCTGAAGTGCATTGTCCCAGACAGGTTTCTAGCTCATAGGATTTGGTTTTTAGTTTCACTAGAATCAAAAGAATCCACCTACCAGAACCCAGGGCAAAAAGACACCAAATCACGCCATTTTAAGCTCAGTAATGAGTCCTATTCGTATTATGTACCATGGGCCTTACCACTCTGATTGCCAAAGACATCTCTGTTAAGGTAGCAGTTGCCATGACCTACCTGCCAGAGTTCCTGAGTGGGCTGAAATGGTGAGGCACCTTTCCTGCTTCAAGAGCGCTGAGTTTATAAAGCAGCAGAAACATCAGGCATCAATAAGCTATATAACGAGGGAGCAAACCTCCGCCTTCCCCAGCTCTGATGATGTTATCTAATTATGAAACTTCTGCAAGTAAACAACCAAACTTCGAGAACATCAAGGATTTCACTGTCCAATCTTGAGCTACAGATATTCTCTTCTATTGAAACAGTAAGCTAGATCCAGAGCTACATATTCCCAATTCATGATAAGCATGATCAGAGGTCACTCCAGGAGTCAAGGGAGAAGTGAACCATTAAGCAGTATAAAGACCCAGGGCTGACAAATGAACCAGACCATCAAGAGGAAGAGGTCCATCAATGTAGAAAGAAGTGAGGGACATAGGTGGTTTTTAATTTTGATAATAAATAAATGGAATCCATGTAGCACTTAGGACCTTGACATTTTTTGTGTTAGCTATTAGAATCTGAAACAAAACTCTTGAAAGTCCCAAATTTTAATCTCTAGAGCAATGTTTCTCAACCTTGGCAACTTTAAGATATGTCAATTTCAGCTCCCAGAATTCCTCAGCCAGCTATAGAAGGTGTAACTGGAAATGTTGACTGGAGAATTCTGGGATTTAACATCCATACATTTTAAAGTTGCTAAGGGTTGAGGAACACCACACCAGAGCATCTATAAAGCAACTCTCCTTTTGAGTAAGACCTTACTTCTAAAATCTTGTGCAAGAAACCCTGTTTCTAAGGTAGACTATGTATGTACTATTTGGATTTCTCATTTTTAAAGCGTGAAAACCAAATATGACATTCCAAGTAGAAGGGGCATGCTAGAACAGTATCTGACTGTTTGGGATTAACTATTCTTTGGTGAACAGAAAGAAGAGTATGTTCTCAAATTCCTGTTCTGTAATTTTTTTTTACATTGGATTCCCAGAATGCTTGGGGCTAATTTACTATTCAGATTGAGTAAGCCAGATACCCATTCTTTCCTTTGAGGAAGTTTCCAGACCAGGTCAATGTTTAACTGGACTCACCAAGTGTGGTAATGGGAAGAGTTTATAAAGGAGTTTCCATAGCAACACGTGGCCTTTGGCTCTTGATAAATGTGTGTTTTGGCACATGCGCACATATGCATATGGGGATATTCTGCAAGAAAAATGCCCTTGGAGAACTATATTAGGATATGTTGGGAATCCAGATTCATCTCAAGAAGCTATTAAAGAAATCAACAAGACAGAATACCAAAGCTGGTCTCTGTTCTTTTGTGCACCTGTCTTCCTAAGGAAATATCTTGAACTTCATTTGTGCCTTATATTTCGCCTGGTTGAAAGCAAAACCCTTGAGAACAGATGCCTGCATAACAAAATGTTCTCCAGCTTTGAGGTTGGTCTTTCTCGGTGCTACCCCATTATGAGGACTGCATTGTATTATTTCTGAGGCTGGGAATGAGGTTCTCTATCTCTTTCTATGTTTAATGACTCCAAGACTGGGCTTCATCCTTCTTTCTCTTGAGGTGGAAATCAGCTCAACCCGAACTCCGAAACATGGGCTTGAATTCGTCCAAGACCCATAGGAAGGTCACCAAAGTGACACCAATGCCATGCAAAGAAAGAGAACCAAAACAGCCTAATAGTGTGACAGTTTATTCCTTCCAGACCTCGCCAAGCTCATTTGTTTCCTCATCAGGGAGACATCCAGTTCTGGAAAGACAACTTCCACCCTTGCGAGAGACATGCTATGGAAGAAATCCCACAGGTAACCTAACATTTCCTTTTATCTTTTTAAAATAGAACATGATTGACTTCTTTAAAAAAAAAAAATTCCACTAACTTCAAGGCCCTCTTTGGGTTTTTTTTTATCTCCTCCCCCATATCTAAAATGTGACACGATATTTTTGGAATCAAAAGTAGAACGTGAAATGTTTGAAGAAGTTTGGATTGTAGTGTCACTTTTTACCTTCATTGTTCCAGGTGGCATTAGCACATACTAATTTACAATCATTAATTTACAATAATTCTCAATTTACAATAATTCATTTTGCAACTTGCAAGTTCAAAGTTACATCAAAATCGGAAAAAAATCTGGCTTAGGCTGGTCCTCACACTTATTACCACCACAGCATCCCCTGATCCCATGAACAAAATTCAGGTCACATTGTTAGGAATATGAGTCACCTAACAGCTATTTGGGTTAGAAATATATAAACCAGGATAAACATTTTAAAACTGTATCTTTAAGAAAATGCAAAACTGTAATTAGGTGTGGTTTCTCAAACGGCCATAAGATGGGGCCAGAAACCTGGGTTGTTTAGTCTGAGTCTCAGAAGAGAGTGTAAGTGTATCTCTGTTTCCTTCTGTTGGAAAGTATTGCCGTTGCTCCATTTCTTCTAATTGACTGATATTACTGGATTTAATGTAAGTCTGATACTGAACTGTTTTTGACACTGGACTTTGATATTTGGATTATCCCTGGATTGAAAAACTGACTGATTTACCTGTGAATGACTTTGGATTGCTTACCTTTCTGGAAGTAAAAACCTACATTTACTGTACAGTGTATCTGTGTGCTCTGTGTGCATTATTCCAACACTACTCTCTATACGTCTCCCTGTATGCACTCATTCTCCTAACGGGGAATTACCTCAACACACATGATTGAAATTCCAGCATGTATTTACAGTGTCACACTGTAGCTATTTGTCTATTTGCAGGGTCACATGGTAGCTATTTGTGACTTTCCCAGCCAACTTCCAATGAATAGTCAATGTGGGAAATCAGATTCACTTAATGATCACATGACAACTGCAGCGATTAGCTTAACAATTGTTGCAAAAATTAGTTTGATTAAATTAGGAAAGCAGCAACGAATCCTTTAGGCAGGCATATTACACAGCAAGACAAATTCAGACATATGAAATACAGTTTTTAGGAAAAGAATCAAGAGACCAATTAAAAACAAAAATGAATTGACTTAAACCAGTGTTCTTTGAACTTGGCATCGTGGACTTCACTTCCCAGAATTCCCCAGCTAGCGAGAAAGATTAAACGGGTCAGGAAGTCTGTCTTGAGCTTGAAAGAAGGTTTTTATGGATGCATTGTCACATCACCTACCACCGCTCCGGAATAAAGTCTTAAAAGTCTCTTGGAACGAGGTGCTGAGTAAATAGTCCCATGGTTCAGAGTTTAATGAGAAGCTGAATGGTAGAACTTCCCTTGCCAAGGGGAAAGACCAATTCTTAGGAGGAGGCATTTAAAAAGCAAGGAATGGGGCCATTTTAAGCTTTTTCTTGTGGATTTACCTTCTGCTTGACTGTTATGGAAATAAAAGGCTGCACCATTTGGAGTTCTGGCCCAGTTGGCTTGTGAATCAGACTGCAAACAAAATCTTGATTGGTTGATTGATTGATTAATATGAAGTGTCTTCTAACTTGCCTTTCTACTCTATATAGCATTCAAGGAATCTGACAGAGCCATCAGTTGCCTTGTATTTCTTGAACGTTTATTAACAATTTTAATAATAATTTAATACTTTTGAAAATATAATTGCCAGATGTAAACTATTCCAGGTAAATCTACCTTTGACCATTGATTGATGGTAATTTTGCCAATGCTAATAGTGTTCAACTGGTGCTCCAGATGTTTTGGCATTGTACACAAGGCACCAATTACTATCTGTATTACCTTTGCTGTCTTTTGCCATGGCCATTCTACTTCAGTTTGCAGATCTTTGTATTCTGTTATTTTCTCCAGTTCTTTCTCTTCTCTTCTGCTGTCTCCAGGTACTGCCATGTCCATTACCAAGACTTATTTTTCTCTTTTCTTATTGACAGTTATTAATTCTGGGATGTTGTATGCAGGGGTGGAATTCTACCAGTTCGCACCTATTCACTAGAACCAGTTGTTAACATTCTAAGCAGTTTGGAGAACCGATTGTTAGAAGAAATTACTGGCCTAATCCTGTAGGGAAGGCAGGTAGGAAACATTCTGGTGTTGCTTACAGAAACTGCCTCTCCGTTAACCCTTATTACATTCTTGGCAGGACTAGACTTCCTGTCTCAGGAACATCTCTGGAGTTTTTTCCCCCTCTTTTGCTGGTAATTTGCTTGTGTGGAGTGACCATTCAAAGTTACAATGGCACTGAAAAAAGTGAGTTATGACCATTTTTCACACTTATGACTGTTGCAGCATCCCCACAGTCATGAGAGGCCAGGGGAGGAGATGTGTGCCTCGATGTAAGTGATATTGAGTTGGCAACACCCAGCCAATAACATGACCACCAATCTATGTCCACCCAGTCACATGACCACCAAGCCACGCCCACCACCTAAGCCACACCCACAGAACCAGTTGTTAAAAATTTGAATCCCACCCCTGGTTGTATGGTAAAATACTTGTCTGTCTGAATTTTAAAGTCTCAGAGCACATTAGCTTTTAAAATTTCTATTATTTTGTCTTTTTTATGGTTCCACTAGTTCTGGCTTGGAGACAAGTGATATTTCTTGTAGATATACCAATGTACCATTGTTGGTAATTTGTCATGCTTTGTTTTCGTTTCTTGTATTTATTTCACATTTTGTACCTATACCATGAAAAGATAATCTGTTTCCCCAAAGATAATAATGATAATGTGATTCTGTCTGGATATTTCCTTCTCCTCTCCTCGATAATCTAGCAGCATATTATTCTCTTTTAAAGATAAAAGGAAATGTACTCCTACTTTAAGTGGAGTCACTTCTCACAAGTTGAAAGACTACAGAGAATACAAATGTGTTCCGGTCATTTAGCAACAGATCCTGTATCATTTTATTATCCACAAGCACTTGCATAAACATCTGGGTTTGATGAAAAAGATTTTAAAAATGGATTCTGTTGTTTATAATGGAAAAGTGATTTCCTGCAAAAGACAGTTTGTAATTCTTTTGCAGCTGTTTTCTCACACTAATCCAGCTGAAGTGTTAGTTTTGTGAGTGTCCTGGACAGTGTCTTCATGAACCTCTATGCTACGTACTCACAAAAAGGGCCCTTGAGTAAATAGCTTTGGACTGATAAGAAGGGATGTATTATATGTAGTATTTCTCAACCTTGTCATCTCTAAGATGTGTGGAGTTCAACTCCCAGAATTCCTCAGCATTGCTGGCTGGGGAATTATGGGAACTGAAGTCCATGCATCTTAAAATCGACAAGATTGAGAAACACTGGTTATATGTATCCACCATTCCTTGTTTTTATCAATAAACTCTAAAGGCATGATAAAAAATATGAGCTGTGTTCCCCGTTCTTTATTTAAAAAAATATAAAAGAATCAGTCTTCCATGACAAACAAATTATAAATAACTAATTATGCATAATCAGCTCAGATTTTTTAAATGCTTCCTTTCCTTCAAGTGCTCAGACCAAATCTGTTAGACCCCATGCAAGGAGGAGGAGGAGGAGGAGGAGAAAGAAGCATCATCAAGCAACATCCACCTCGAAGGCTTCAGGTAAGATGCCTCTTGATCCCTAGTTCCTATCTCTTACACACTGAGGCTCAATTTAAATTGCTGACATCTTGTCTCTTCAAGCCACATCAGCAAATTCCAATGAGAAAAATCTACTCCCCAAGGAGTTCTTGTTAGTGTTCTTCAATTTGCTAAAATCTCTTTGAAGGTCTGTCTCCTTCTTCACTCTCCATCAATCCCCTCCAGCATCCTCTTCTTGTTGAGAATACTTGATGAGATCCTGCTGGATGCATCTTGCTAGCTTGTTGATTCTTTTCATGTGGCCTAGTTTGCAGAGTTAGAATGCTTCATTAATGAGTAAAATTGTAAGAGGTGTTTCATGAGGAACCTTCCATTCCAAATTTTGGGCAAAGTGCTAAGGTTCTGAATGAAAAGTAGCCAATTAGGCAAAAAGAAGAGGAAACATACCTTCAAATGCACCAATGAAAGATATTGTCTCAATGGAAGCTGAAGAAGCCTTCTCTAATGAGACCTGTGTTACATCCTTAAGGTTGATTATCCAGGTCTTTCATTTTTATTGCCAAGTTTCACCCAGAGGATTCACTGACCTTGTAATCTATTCATTTCACTTGCCTATAGGGCTCCACTTCTCTCCCCCAGATAAGTCCCGCATAGAGTAGAGTAGAGTAGAGTAGAGTAGAGTAGAGTAAGAGTAGAGTAGAGTAGAGTAGAGTAGAGTAGAGTAGAGTAGAATAGAATAGAATAGAATAGAATAGAATAGAATAGAATAGAATAGAATAGAATAGAATAGAATAGAATTCTTTATTGGCCAAGTGTAATTGGACGCACAAGGAATTTGTCTTGGTGCATAAGCTCTCAGTGTACATAAAAGAAAATATTTGTCAAGAGTCAAGAATCATAAGGTACAACACTTAATAATAGTCATAGGGTACAATAAGCAATCAAATCATACTAGAAAACAGTCACTATAAATTGTAAGGATACAAGCAACAAGGTTACAGTCATACAGTCATAAGTGGGAGGAAATGGGTGAAAGAAAGGATGGGAGGATTAATAGTAATAGTAATAGTAGTGCAGACTTTGTAAATAGTTGGACAGTGTTGAGGGAATTATTTGTTCGGGGAAAAACTGTTCTTGTGGGTCTAGTTGTTCTGGTGTTCAGTGCTCTATAGCATTTACAAAAGGGGAAAAGCAAAGCCTAAGTAAATGAATCAACAATTCTTTCAAGTAAGCTATAATGTGGGCTTGGACCACTAACAATATTTAAACTAGCCAAGAAGACCTGGTCATCTTAATACAGCACAGCATGAAACGAGAAATGTCACTGAAGGTTTGAGGAGTTCCTTAAATGCTATTTTTAGCCTACTTCTATACTTTCTTCCAAAATCATAAAATAATCTGGAGCACTCAAGAGAGTCCTTGGGTTATTTAAAGTGTGAAAATTGTCATATATTGTGATGGTTGCAAATTTATGAATGCCCTATTTATTTATTTATTGCCTTTTTTTCTATCAGATATCGTAATGGCAACTTGGATAGGATCTAGGTCAGTGTTTCTCAACCTTGTCAACTTTAAGATGTGTGAACTTCAATTCCCAGAATTCCCCAACCAGCAATGCTAGAGTATTCTGGGTATTAAAGTCCATGTATCTTAAAGTTGACAAGGTTGAGATATATTGACCTAGGTAATATAGGATCTGTTCAGGTGGACCAAAAGCTGTGTGTTCCTTGTATGAAATCTTACACAATTTTAGCATTTTGTTTTTATTTTAAATTGAACAATTATTTTTTTTATACTTTTTGTATTTTCAATCGTGCATGATGATGTCTATCTATCAGCTAGAAAGACTGCGACCTCTCTGCCTCCTCTCTTTTGCACATCAACAGCATTTGCAACATTTAAGGAAACCTTTAGCTTTGTAGTGTTACTGGCTGCCACCTAGTGACTGTGCCTTGATTAGTAACCATTCTTTACAAATGCCAAAGGCAGAGGTTTCTCTGCTTGGAAAAACTCCACTGAATAATGTGGGGTGTATAATTTGGAAGTCAATGCTTATAAAAGTGCTATAACTTTTCTTTTGATTTTTCTTCTTTGTTGTAAGTCCTTAAATCTGTTCAATGTAGGATTGACTGTGAAAGACAAATTTTTATCTACAGGAATGCAAGTATTCTTCTGCGTAACACTTTGCATTTTGGATAAATAAATACAGGTTCAACATGCAATCCTGGAAAAGGTTGTTGGGAAATATACAACAAAGAGAAATGGCTGCCTGGCCAGCTATAGGTAGTTCTTGACTTAGGACTGCAACTGGGACCACAACTTTGGTTGCTAAGCAAAGGCAGTTGTTCAATGAATCACGTCCAATTTTACAACCTGGCTTGTCACGGGCATTAAGCGAATCACTGCAATGAGGTGAATTACATAGTTGTTAAGTGAATCCACCTTCCCCTATTGACTTTGTTTGTCGGAAGCTGGCTGGGAAGATCCCAAATGGCAATCACATTATCCCACAACACTGCAACTCTCATAAATACTTGCCAGATACCAAGTGCCCAAATTTTGATCATGTGACCGTGGGGATGCTGTTATGGTTGCAAATGGGAGGACTAAGTCCTAAGCCACTTTTTTAATGCTGTTATAACTTTGAAAGATCACTAAATGAATGGTCGTAGGTTCAGGACTACCTATATATCCCATTCTAGGATAACTGGCATTGAGTACCAAACTACATTGGAAGAGCTGTAAATAATTTGCCCTTTGCTACATCTGGCCAGTCTTTGTCTGATGGCAGAAACATTGAAAACTCCTGTATCAGAATGCAAAAACGTCACTGCACTTTAACCTCTACCCTCTTGAGTAGACATGAGCCACCTTGATGCCTACAGAAAAGTGGTGAAGTTAACTATGCTAATGTCATCAACCTAACAAAACCTCCCTGCCTCCACCTTTACTCTGTGGACACCACTGCTTGTGAAACTGTTAAAATGTCACAAGTTGCTATAAATTTTAATAAATGCCCTGCAGAATGAAATCTATCGAGTGATGATTTATGAGACTTTCTGGGAAAGAACGTATATTGAGGATGGTACTTCATTTCTGAAATATAGGAGATCAGGCCAGGTTAAAAGGGGGGGAGAGCTTTGATCACATGGTGGTTTAATTTTTTTGACACCGCCCCCATGGACACCCTGAGTGAAACCCTGAAGGCATCTCCTCTCTCTTTAGATCGTTTTGATCAAAGCAGCATAAAAACACCTGTTATAAACTTATGCATCTAAGTAAATTTTAAAACAACAACAACAATAAAGCAGCACACCGGCATTATCACTGGGAAAACATTGTGGTCATTCCAAGAAGTACAAAGAAAGAGTATGCAATTCTTAAACAATTCTGATGCCACTGCATACATTTTAGGGAAAAAGCACAACCTTTGCCTGGCCCCAGATTTAGAATAATAGAATAAAGAATAACAGAGTCGGAAGGGACCTTGGAGGTCTTCTAGTCCAACCCCTGCTGAAGCAGAAGATTCTGTATTATTTCAAACAAATGGTTGTCCAATCTCTTCTTAAAAACCTCCAGTGTTGGAGCATTCACAACTTCTGGAGGCAAATTGTTCCACTGATTAATTGTTCTGTCAGGAAATTTCTCCTTAAGAATAAAGGGAAATATACATGTCCCAGGATTATGTTGCGGGATCCAATCTGTGGCAGTCACTGGGACCAGCACAAGTCTAAAAACTTGGAAGACAAAACCTCTGGTCCCGGATTGGATCCTGCAATTGGTCCTTAATTCTAGGTTGTTTCTCACCTTGATTAGTTTTCATCCATTGCTTCTTGTCCTGCCTTCAGGTGCTTTGGAGAATAGTTTGACCCCTATTGTACAAAATGTATGAAAATCTCATGGATTGCAAATCTGCTCTTGAAGGGCATATTTAAATAGACTCTGCCACAAGGCATCAAGTTAGCTCACTCTGATTCCAGAGTGTTTTACTCTTTCCTTGGCTTTGCAGAAATTGGAGCCATTTATTCTTGCAGACAACATCCCTGCAGCCACATACCCGAATCTGCAAGGTGGAACAGTGATGCAGAAGGAAAAGGTAAATATTCAAAGGAAACTGGGGGTACAAGAATTGATTTATAAATAAAAGAAAGATGAGTTTGGAATTAAAGCTCAACGCTCTTCTAAAAATGTTAAACATGCCTCCTCTTCCTGCTGCTCCTTCTTCTGTCTCTTCCTCCACCATACAAAGAAAACTGTTTTGTGATCCCAGTTAAGTAGGTAGAAATAAATAGGGTTACATTTTTATTTGTAAAATCAAATATGTTAGCTCTGTTACTTGCATGTTTTAGAAATTCATGCTTGATACACAAGCCATTTATGTGTTAGTGACCTATAGTGTCACCCAGCTATTGCTGAAGTAATATAGATCCTGCCCTTAGTACAGTTATTTTTGTAGAGTACTTGGATGACTTGTTTCATAAAAGGTTTTTGTTATGTCTTTGAATCCTCTGCTTAACCTGGAAGGAACTAGAGAGAGGAGAACACATTGATAGGCATCCTGTTGGAAGAAGACAGTATTTACTGCAGATGAAGATGCTTGAAATAAGAAAAGAGGTAAACCTGGGATACTTTACTACTGGTGTAATACCATTGGAATATTTAAGGAGAAAAGTGGATGATAGAATAAATTGAGGGAGTCTCTGTTTTATGCACTGAATAGCAATTTAATGGTGTGTGTTTTGTAGAAATTTGTATTGAAGATCTCAATTTTGTAGAAATTTGGCGTATGTATAGGAATAGTTGTTTGATCTGTTTAATCATCAAGCTGGAAGCATAATAAACATATATTACTACATTAATCATGTGAAACTTATTCATTTGTATAGCAATTATACGTACATGTTTATTAAAATTTTATTTCTCAGCTAATTTATTTTTTAAGAAATTACACCTTAGAACTTTGCTCTTATTTTTAAGATAAAATAAGAACATACTGTACTTTTAAGAGTATATCAACAATGCAAACCTCTTTTTTTTAAAATAAATAAGCTACTGGCCATGATTTTCCACCAAGAATTCTCAGAAGTCTAGATGTGTTTTTTTTTAAGGTGATTAAAATTCTGCTGGCATTTTTGAAAACAACTCCAGTTTCTTTCAGAAAGAAGAATATCTCTTAAGCCATTTTGAGACCGTTGTGTATCTGTAACTTATAAGGAATTATTTATCAATTCAGGCAGAACTAAAAAGGCGTCTGCAACAGGAGGCTAGGCTTAATAAGCCAAAAATGAGAGATCTTCATGTGCTGGGCACTTTTGAGCATGTGCTGGGAACTCAGAGTTCTGATGATGAAGAGCAACACTCTACTGAGCATGACAAAACATTTAATGGAAGCCATGGTAAGTATCATCAAAACAATCAATTTTGAAGTCAGCGTTGCTGATCTTTACATCGGCACCATCTTAGAACTCTCTGTAAATCCATCTACATTTTGGTGCAGTGGTCAGAACGCAGTATTGCAGGCTAACTCTACCTACTGCCATGAGTTCGATCCTGAGCTCATGGTTAATTTAGCCTTCCATCCTTTTGAGGTAGGTAAAATGAGGACCCAGATTGTTGGGGCCAATATGCTGACTCTGTAAACTGCTTAGAGAAGGCTGTAAAGCATTATGAAGTGGTATATACGTGTAGGTGCTATTGCTATTGCTATCTTCTTGCAACACGTCCCAATAGATGTAGACCAATATGCTTCAATATTAATCATTCAAGTGTGACTGAAACAAGGGTATTGATTCTAGTAATCACTAAATAGCTCACTAAATGATGCCGGAGGATGTCAGAACAAGAGATGCCCGTGAGCTCCCCGATAACTAGAATTAGAACAGGAAATACAGGTTCCAGTTGGGATGAAATCATTCCAAGAATACAGCCATAGAGGCATTGTTTCTATTTTGCACTTGGCTTTCAGATTGCATGCTGATTGACTTCCAGTATAGTAGAGATGACATAAAGTATTAGGGCCACATTGAGAAGTTCTGTGTTTATTGCTTTTTAAGGTATGCTAATCCCTTGCACATTACATGGCCAAATCCGTTCGCTAAGTTATACAACTATGCAAAACTTTTGATTAGATATGTCATTTTATTGTCCTATTGTTTTTTTTTTTCTGCTTTCCCAATAGCAAATTGTTGCATCAAACCATTTATCTTTTTTACTATACCCACCTGTAATAAAAATACTAGATTTGACATAAAGTCCTTAGCCACTTGAATGATACAGGATCAGGCATGTTGTAAAATTTGTGCCATTCCATAAGCTTTTAGAAATTCTAGGAATGGAGAGACTCTATTCCAGGTGCCACAATCTATTTCTGAATTGGAATAACACAGAATTCATTTCTAACTGTGACAAAGTGTTAGTATAGAATACTAGGTCAAAAAGTGCCTGAAGAATGGCCATAGGCATATGTTCCAGAGTAGCTTCTCCCACGAACTGAACAGTAATCATTTTTAGAGAGATGCCTTGGGATTAATACTTGATTGTAGAATTTTTCCCCATTAGCTCTTCCTAAGTGGAAATGAGTCCTAAGTGGAAATAAGAACCTGCCTTTTCTTTTATTGTGCTCATTTCATAAAAGGAGACAATGATAGGTTTTGTGATGCTTCAAAGGCTAACAAATTAATCTTGGTTGTTTTCATCACAAAAGACTAGAACAGCCTTTCATACGTTGATGGAAAAGTGTGGCCTTTTGCCTCTGAAGAATGACACCTTTGGGAGAAAGCTAAAGTTCATTATATACAAGAGCAATATATTGGAGGTAGCCAATGTGATTTCAGACTTCAGGTGTGAAGCTCTTATATGTCTACTAAGATCCTTGATGCCTGATCTGTTAAAATATTTTAGAATAAAAATTATGCTGATGTAACCCAAGCCAAAGCATCAACCTCTAGCATTTTATTTGCAGGAATGCTGTGGGGCCAACCTGATCTTCTTCAGAGAATTTGGTCCCCAACTCTCATAATCCCTGGCCAGTAGGGCCAAGGCTATCAATGGATTATGGTTTCTGAAGTGCTAGGTTGGGACTAAGCTGGACCAAATCTAAGGTTTCATGTTCAGAAACCAAATCTAATGCATCACAGTTCTTCCTGTGTGTTTGTACAATATTGAAGTCTCCTTTGCTTGTTTTGTTAGGAGATTTGTGGCACAGAGAATTTCTTAAAGGACCTGGGTCACCTAAATCCCATCTGGACCAGAGAGACAAAGTGGAGACATGGCTGTGGAAACAACAAGCAACAATGGAGTCGTCTTCAGATGCTTCCAGCACTGACACCAATAACTGGAGCGATTGCAATGACAACTTTAGGAAATCTTATCGGAGGCCTGCTTTAGTGAGAACTAAGACAGAAAGGATTACCCTTTTTGATGATTTCTTTGATAAAGAACTCTAAATTATACAAGCCATGTATAAGACAGCCTTTTAGAGATGGTATTCTGACATTATTCTCTCCTTCCATTTGTAATTCTCCTATGTTTAATTCTTTAATGTCCTCTTTTCTATATCATATTATTGTTTTCTATGTTCTGTAGTATAGTTTTCTGTTGCTAACCAATATCCCCTCTGATGTTTAAACTCTATATATCTTTGGTTCTAGATTCTGTGTGTTCTTGCTGTCTGCACTCCCATTCCACAAAGTTCAATCTCTCTCTTTCTGGATTTCTTTGCCTTTTTCTGCTCTCTTGTAGCCTTCAGTGGCCATCTGGCAAAGTTCTTAATCCTTTTCAACATGTTTGTTTTCCCACTGGTTTCTTTACAGTTCCTCTGTGGAATGCCCACTGGGGAAAAAGCACCTATGTTCTGCTGGGGAAGGAGAACCTTTGTGTCCTCCAAACCTGAGGTTACAAGGTAGGGAAATGCCACAAATCCTCAATTTTCCCAGTGCTCCCTCCTTTCCCGTTGCCTCTTTTGCAGCAGGCCTTTGGCTTTCATTGCTGAATTTTTCACTTTTGTCTCTCATGATGTTTGAGCTACAAAGCTTCAAAAAAGCATGCCTTGTCTTCTTCCCTCCACACAGCCATGTGCATGTAGTGTTGTGTTATTGGCAGCTGAACTCTCCTGACACTAGGTAAAAAGATGGGATGGAAGGAGCATGGGTGTTTGCAATCTACCCAAATAGCCTGTCCTTTCACACTTTCCTTTAACTTCTTGTTGTCCGTAAGATTAGACAAGTATAGGCTTGCGATTTTGGGCTTGGACAACCTTGAACTACGCTGCCTACGGTTGGACTTAAGTGTAGTACACAAAATTATCTGCTACAATGTCCTACCAGTCAATGACTACTTCAGCTTCAACCACAACAATACAAGAGCACACAACAGATACAAACTCAATGTAAACCACTCCAAACTTGATTGCAGAAAGTATGACTTCAGCAACAGAGTGGTCAATGCCTGGAATGCACTACCTGACTCTGTTGTTACATCCTCAAACCCCCACCCCTTTAATCTCAAAGTATCCACTACTGACATCACCCCATTCCTAGGAGGTCTGTAAGGGGCGTGCATAAGCGCACAATTGTGCCTACCGTTCCTGTCCTATTGTCCCCATTTATTTGTACCTATTTCCTGTATTCTTACTCATGTTTATACTTATACCCATTATCTTGTAAGCAATTGATAAATCAAATAAATAAAATAAATAAAAGGGAAAAAGAAATAAAAGAATAGGAGTAAGAGGAAGAGGGGATAGTACGCTGCTTTTCTTCTCCTAGGCAATCCCCCAAAAACAGGGAAATAAATGAGAATTGTAGGTATTTTTCATGGCAACATATACACATTGTTAGGAATGTAAGTCACCTAATAGTTGGCTTGGAAAATATATAAACCAGGATAGACATTTTAATACTGTCTCTTTAAGAGAATGCTAAAACTGTAATTGGGTGTGGTTCCGCAAATGGCCATAAGATGGAGCCAGAAACCTGGGTTATTCAGTCTGTTCTCTTCTGTTGTTTCTGGAGAGTGTTGCCATTCGTATTGAGTGTTACTGATCATAGTTCATCTGGGATTTGATGTAAGTGTGTTACTGAACTGTTTTTGATATTGGACTTTGTTATTTGGATTATCCCTGGACTGAAAACTGACTGCTTTAACTGTGAATGACTTGGACTGCTTGTTTTGACTTTGCTTAACCATTTTTATTGGAAGTAAAAACCTACATTTTACTATACAGTGTATCTGTGTGCTAGTTGTGTGTTATTCTTCACCACTCTCATTATGTCTCCCTGTATGCGCTCATTCTCCTAACGGGGAATTACCTCAACACTGGTTATGGGCCCAGGTCATACCAGGCTCAGATAACTGAGAGTTAGTGTGAATGCCCAGTACTGTACACAGACAGCTCTTTACTGTTTAATTGTGGGTTACTATCCTGATAAAGATGGCACAAGACCCTTCAACAAGTCTATCACTGATAACCCGGTTGGATGGAACAAACTATGTTTCCTGGTCTATGAAGTGCAGTCTACTTCTGTGTAGAGAAGGTTTATGGAATGTAGTTCAAGACCCACCGGATGTAAATGCTTGGGATCCAGAAAATGAGGATGATGCTTGCTGACTTTAAACAGAACAACGAACGAGCTCTTTGTATAATTGGACTAACACTGAGTGACCAGCAGCTAGTCCATATTCGTGGAGAAGAGTCTGCTGCTAGGTGTTGGGAGAATTTGAAGAGGATTTATGTTCGTGACAGCGTAGGTGCACACATACATCTTACACGTAAACTGTTTAGAGCACGTCTTCTGAAAGGTGGAGATATGTTAGCTAATTTGAACTTCATGAAAAGAACTTTTCAAGAGCTACATGAAAAGGAACTGGTATTTTCAGAGCTGCATCAAATTTACATCATTCTTTCCTCATTGGATGAAAGTTATGATGATTACGTATCTTCACTGGAAGTCCTGCCCAGAGATGAACTAACATTGACTGACATAACCGGAAGGTTGTTAGAAGAAGCAAGAAGACAACTGGATAGGGATCAACTGAGAAAGGAACAACCACAAGAAGAGGATTTGTTTTCAACTGCCTATACTGTAAGGAAATGTTTTTTTTGTGGGGCTAGGGGACATCTAGCTAGATTCTGTAAGAAAGGAAAATGACAGAATACTGATAATCACCAGAAGGCCAAGAAGAATGTTAGTTTAGCTATGTCTAGCAATTCAACTGTAAACCATGATTTGTGGGTTGTTGATAGTGGAGCATCGCAGTGCATTACTAAAGATAGAAAAAGGTTTGTAAAGATGTCCACGAGTAAGCAACATGTATCATTGGCAAATGGATGGAAGATGAAAGCCTCTGGTGAAGGTACTGCATATCGTTCTTGTATAAATGAGCATTTAACTATGTTATATGTACCTAAACTGAAATTTAATTTGCTATCAGTAAGGGCTTTAGTTAATATTGGTTATATAGTAACCTTTAGGGGAGATAACTGTATAATAGAGAAAGAGGGTAAAAGTGTTACTGCTAATTTAGAGAATGATTTATATGTGATACATGATGACCAGTTGCAGATAGCTAACTCAGTTTATAACAATGTTAAGCCACATGATGAATGTATACATTTATTGCATGGACATCTGGGGCACATTAATTTCAAAATGCTCAAACAAACTGTTGAATTGTCAGAGGGAGTAAAATTGAAACCCTGTAGCAAGTATTTAAACTGTAATGCCTATAGCCAAGATAAAAGCAAGGTTACTCCAGCAAACAGACTAAATGGGTTTAAGACCAAAGAACCTTTAGAGGTTGTGTTTGCTGACATAATTGGTCCTAAGAAACCCAGTTTGGGAGGTGCCTGCTATGTTTTGAGTATAATGGACCATTACTCACAGTACGGTTTCTGCTATCTCATGAAAAACAAAACAGAAACATTCCAACATTTCTTTAACTGGCTAAGGTTTGCAGAGAGAAAAATGAGGAGTAAAGTAATTACTTTAGTTACTGATAATGGGACTGAGTTTATCAACAAGAGATTCCAAACTATGTTGAAATTGGCTGGTGTTGAGCATAAACGTTCTGCACCTTACAGACCACAACATAACTCGTTTGTAGAACAAAGAGGGCAAACGTTACAAGCCATGGCTCGCACTATGTTATCTGACTCATGTTTGCCTGAAATACTGTGGGGTGAGGCCATAATGTGTAGCAATCATGTGTTAAACAATTGCCATTCACTCGTTGGAATGGCAGAAAGCCAAATTTAAGTTATTTACACACATTTGGACCTCCAGCATGGGTGCATATTCCCCCACAAGTAAGAATGAAAGGGCAACACAGGGCTAAGAAATTATTTTTTGTAGGTTACGAGGCCAACCATAGATCATTTAGATTCTGGGATCCAGGCACAGCTCATATTTATTGCAGTGCTAGTGCAAAATTATTGAGCACGTTGGGTGGAATAAACTGGAACAAGAATCCAGCAATGATGTTATTATTGACACCAAAGTAGTCCCTAAAGTTGAAATAAGTAAACCACGAATAGCCATTAAAGAGGAAGAACAGGAGGAAGTAGAAGAACAGGCACAGGAGGAGATAGAAGAACAGGAACAGGTGGCACAGGGAAGTCCACCAGTAAGCCCTGTATTACCAAGACGTTCAACCTGAGTAACACGACCACCTGATAGATATCAGGCTAGTGTTGCATGCCAAGTGAATACAGTTCCTGGTAACTATAATGAACTGAAACTGGGCAGAGATTGTATCTGTTGTAACTTGATCAACCACCTTCACTGTGCTTCAACCAGAGGTGGTATTCAGCAGGTTCTGACCAGTTCTGGAGAACTGGTAGTGGAAATTTTGAGTAGTTCAGAGAACCAGTAGCGGAAATTTTGAGTTCAGAATACCACCTCTGACTGGCCCCGCCCACATCTATTCTCTGCTTCCCGAGTTCCAGCTGCTCAGCTAGGTCTTCTTTTGTTGCCATGGAGCTGGAAAGCAGGTAAGTGAGGTGGGGAGGGAATGGGGATTTTACAGTATCCTTCCCAAGCCACACCCACCAAGCCATGCCACACCCACCAAGCCACGTCTACCAAGCCACGCCCACAGAACCAGTAGTAAACATTTTTGAATCCCACCACTGGCTTCAACCACTGGGGCCCAAAGCCAACTCACAGAGCCATGTCTTTAGGCCCTTATAAAAGGATAGGAGAATAGGTAGAATGCATGGAAACAAACTCTCCAGAAACTTAATCATGATTATCATCATTCCTAGGCTGAGAATTCTATCCCAGCATCCTTCCGTTATTGCACTATCCCTGCGGCCTCTCAGGTTAAAATAAATGAATTAAACTCAGATTAACATTGTCTATTCCTGTCCTGAGTTTTTCAGTACAAAAAAAAGAAAATAAAATAGAAGACACATGGCTCTTCAGCCTAAATAGGAGCCACAGCAAGT